ACATCTAGAAGTCACATGGACATTCACCCAATCTAAATTTAACGAGATGTGTTCTTGATATCACTTTTATTTACCCATATTTTATGTGGGGGTATATTGTCATCACCCCTGGATATCCAGTCATTTTTGGGGGGGGGGTTTTCAGGCCCTCGGTCCGCTGCTCTTTCTTTTCACAATTCTCTTAACCACTAAACAGGTCAGCGTTGTTCAGATATGGAAGGAATCCCATTGAAATTCTGAGTCGCACGTAAATTCAATTCAAATTGGCTGCGATTGTTTTTCAATTCCAAAGGATACATTTGTTGCACTATGCCTTCTAGATCTTCCAAAACTCATTAGCAAAGGTTCATTTACTTTGCACATTGTTGATTTTTTTAAAAATTTTCCAACTGTTTTATATAATGTGTGGAATTAGAAAAGGACTTTTCATAACAATGGGATTACATTTACTGGTACCTGGTTCTTCCCCTGCAGACAGAGTCTACATGCAATGCTACTATTATTTAGATAACAATATCCAGCCATTGTTATGCTCTAGCCAAATCCTGTACAAACTGTAACAAATTTATAACATATCAAATGTGTGCCTAACCCAACATGAACTGAACACGTTTCCAAATTTTTCATTTTGACATTATGGAGATTAAAGGAGTGGAAGCAAGTTGTGTTAGAGATGAAATAATGATAGAGATACCCACCACCGTTAATCTAGGGATTGAACAATGACATCCATGGGATTCCAAGAGAATCTTTACCCCTGACATTTCCTAAATCCTGTATAACCTAAATATATTAACATTACCAAAGTTAACAATATTTCCAAGCATGCCAAAAGTTGAGCAATGTTTCTTAGTCAAAAATTTGTTATTGGATATATGTCTGTTAATCTAGGGATTGGACAATGACATCCATGGAATTCCTAGAGAATCCCTACCCCTGACATTTCCTAAATCCTGTATAACCTAAATACATTAACATTACCAAAGTTAACAATATTTCCAAGCATGCCAACCAATAGTTGAGCATGTTGCTTAATCCAGAATGTGTTATTAGATATATGTCCGTACCAGCCCAGTACACTTTTCATATTGTCTGAATGTCTAGACTTTTTAGTCAAGGCTACTTGTAATTATAAGGGTCTATATAGTTTTCGTACCAGTTTTGAGTGTAGATCGTCTGATGTTAGATATGACACGATGAGAAATCTTATTGTCAGTCTGTTTACAGATGTAAGATTAGACATTTTTGATTTCCATACATAACAATGTTTCTATTTATAAAACATCTGAAGTTGTTGATTGTCAATTGAGGTACCGGTGTTAGAAATCCCTTGCAAGCTATAATATTATAAAAGTTGAATCTCTAAAAGAAATATCAGCTCAAAATGATTCAGTACCATTTGGTATTTACCAACATTTGGCATTATCTACTGTTATATTTATATTAGATTTTTGTGGAGGTGGATGGCTGCTTTATCATAAAGTCTGTCATTAAGTCAACTGGGGTGGTTTTGATTTCCCGGTTGTACGTGACAAGAAGTGGTGTCGCCTGTCAAACCTTGTGGGTCCTCCAGGTTCCTCCCACTGCTAAAGACCCCTACGCGCAAGTGAATTATTGAAATAAAATCAAACCATGTGTTAATCCTGAAATGCCCTATTTTGTGTCAAGTGGATGTTAAACCGCATTTCCCTCCCTCCCTCCCTCCCTATTAGTTAAATAATCCATCTGAGCACATTTTAGCATGGATTAAGCCATGGAAATGTATTTATGATATTATTTCCCAAACAAAATCCATGGTCAAATAATATATAGCTAGATATATGACAAGTATAATGACCACAGGATCACTTCCAAGATTATCTTTGTGGGTATCAAATAATTATATATCTTATTTCATGATATCTTCTAGTGTGTATGTATATTGATATGAGTGTTATTAAGCCTCCCATCTTCTAGTTTTATTGGTATTAAACCTGTAGAATCTTAGTAATCTTTCTAGTTAGTGTGTAGTATTGATATGAGTGTTATCAAACCTCCCATCTTCTAGTTTTATTGGTATTAAACCTGTAGAATCTTAGTAATCTTTCTAGTTAGTGTGTAGTATTGATATGAGTGTTATCAAACCTCCCATCTTCTAGTTTTATTGGTGTTAAACCAGTAGAATCTTAGTAATCTTATTAGTTCATTAGGTTAAATATAGCCTAACTTGGGATGCTTTGATATCATCAATATTATTTGATCAGTGTCAAACCTGTAAAATCCTATTAATCTTGTTAGTTCATTAGGTTAACATTAGGTTAAATATAGGCTAACTTGGGAAGTTTTGATACCAGAAATACAATCTCATCAATCTAGACACACTGGTATGATGATTTTGACCATGTTGATTTTTATGGACATCTTCTGTTACTTTGGTCATATTGAAAAAACTATGACTACAAGGACAAGGACTTCAACAAAGACATTCTTACAAGAAAATTTGTATAAAAGACTTTGTAGGTGACTATTGACAGATTACTTCATCTAATAGAGAGAGAGAGAGAGAGAGAGAGAGAGAGAGACGAACATCCACTGGCACACACTAGGTCACTTCCGGACTAACATGGTTCAATTTTATTTCAATAATTCTCTCGTGCATGGGGGTCTTTTAGCAGTGGCAGGAAACCGGAGGACCCGGAGAAAACCCATGACGTTGGACAGGCAACCCTAATTCTTGTAACATACAATCGGGGATTAAAAACTACGCCAGTTGAGTCAATGACAGACGTTAGGATACAGTGTGCACGTGCTAACCAAATGGAATTGATGCAGATGATTTACAAAGATCTCTTTGCTGAGATTTATCATCAATATTCTTACTTCTAATGAACAAATAAGTATGAAATAATTCAATAGTTTTTAAATAATAAAGTAATCTTATATGTTTGATTATTGATGTAAATACTGTCAAGATTTATCATATGACAAAATCCGCCTTAGATTTTCGTAAATGATTTATTTTGTGACATGATAAAAACTACATTAATTGTGATGACTTAGTTTCTCAATCTTAAAGACAACACCAAATAATTATTTCTCTATCAATGGGGAGGTATACCTGTAGATGATTGGATTTTAATTGCATTGATTGGCTAATTACCTAAATAGGTAGGAGCTATTGGCCCCTTTTACTACAGTCAGACCATGAATCAAGAGTAATTTGTAATTGACAAAAGGGTTCTTTTATTGAGGTACAACATGAACTCTTCCATTTAAAACTGAGTGTAGACTACACCTGAAAGTAAATAGACCGATCCGACCAGGTAAAATACTCACCTGTCCCTGCATTACTGAATGGATTCTTCCTATGTTTGTTTTCACGCTGGCTATAGACTGATCTTGGGACACTTGTTTAATGAACGTATTTTCCCTGCTTTTCTCGAGTACACAACGAGCCGGCACTTCGGCACTATGCAGTGTAATACAGTGTCATTGTTAGTACACATGACTTATACAAGTTGATTTTAGTACTAGAGATGTTTTAGAGGATCAGTGATAGTGGGTGACGAAGGGATTATAAGCATCAGATGGTTCAACAATAGATCACCAACCGAAGTGATCATTAAATACTTAATGATGCAATCAGTTTTTTATATTATTCATGCAATTAATTCCAATCGGATGAGTTAAATAAAATACAGAAGATAGACGTCCGTGCAAGTTTTTAGTGAAAGTTTTCTAATTCAAACTCTGTGGATGTATGCTTAGAAATCTATATCAACAAAATGTGGACATGAATTGTGGACTTAAAAAAGATTTTGTCTCAAAATTCTGCACTTTTTCTATTTTTTTTTTATTTTCTGAAAAATCTCTACATCAAAAGTAAAAAGGATTAATTGAGCTGGATGTACACGAAAAAGCGAGAAAAAGACGAAGGAGTATTTAAATAAAAAGACAACATATCAGTGCCAAGTTCAATACACCCCAAATACAGAATCACATGCAAATTTGTTTTTTTGTAGAAAGTATGTGAAAAATTTGAAAACCGCAGGTCTGTCCCTACGAGGAATATTTTGTGGAAACAGCAGTTTTAAAAAAAGAGAGAAAACCTCAGAAAACATGTTTGTTTGATTTCTAAAGCTGTCGTGAAAACGATACCAACAATTTCCAAGCCAGAACAGTAACGGAACAATTTTACTTTTAGACTTAAAATGTGATGTTTTGGTTGTTTGTTTTTTAAAATCTGGAAATAGAAAAATAAAATTATATGAGACACATCTGTATATATATATATTTGAGACCTTTTGTGTTTCTAGTAAATCTAAGTGCCGTATTCTTGACATTTGCCGAAGAGGTTCTATTTACATATTAAGCGCTCAGTGTAGTTTCTGACAATTTAGTGTCAATAAGGCCCATGTAATTTTCTGCACGTAACAAAAATATACCTCATGAACTAAAAAAAAATCTCTAAAATTAGCCACTTGTCAAACAATTGATAAGGTTGGTTTTGAATACTTGTTGTGAAATGGTGACAGTGGAAGTTGCAACCTGTTCGTATTACGTCTGTTCCGAATAAAGACAGTAAAAAGTTTTGACACAAAATAGGCAACAAACCAGACAATGTCAGTTTAAAAACCAGAATCAAGCAAAGTTGACAACTTTTTTTTGTCTAATTTTGAACTTGATTTGAACAGATGTGTCATAATATTTCAATAGTGTAAATGTTTGATACAACAGTGAATAAAAAAAACTAACTAAATATAGTGGGCTATATCCGATACATGGTGGTACCAGTTCGTGAATTAATACAAACCTTATTATTACGATTATAACCTCAAGTTATGGTGTTGTTTACCAACAGTCTACACAAATTATTGAATGGAATAACCCTGAGGTCTTGTGTATAAAGTTGATTGACGTATATATAGATAATAGTTGACTATTATTGTCTATATCTATACCTATATATGTGTCAATGTTTATTTAACTCATCATAGCAATAAGATATATATATACTGATATCAGAGCTGTATGTAAAACATAGATAATCTTGATTCGTATACAAAAAAAAAAAGAACCCAAAGGTTTCACTTCATGGAGATCAACTCAATGATATGATTAATTCAAATTAAGGGATTATCCGACTATGTGTAATGAAGTTGTACCATTTTACGGATTTATTTTCTACAGACGTGAAATTATTAACCAGATAACTGATTGACAAAATTGATTTAAAAGACAGAGATCTAAAATAGTATAAGTTTGATAGTGACAGTGAAACTCTTGAATTCAAGTTATTCAAATTGTTATTCATGGGATCAGAGATAAGCCGTATTGAGAGATCATTATCGCGTGTAATAGAAGTATAGTCAATTTGATTAAGGAAAGATAGAAGTCATTGTAATAGGAATTACGCTTACAATAAGTAATTTGTATTGAATAGTGGATATTGTATACATATAAGTATATATATATATATGCACGGTGGATATTGTGTTATTCAATGTGGAATAGTGGAGTGCTAGGAAGGAAAATGATAGAATGATGAAATGGTCCTATTCTGGAAGCTCTTGGAAGGAACATGGAAAGAAGGTGGGTTGATCAAATACATGTATAAAATGATCAATTTGATAGAAAATCTTTTTTAAACACAAGACTATTCAGTCTCAACTCACTCTCATGTACAGTTAATAATTTAGGTTTATAGAACTACCTTAAAATGAAAAAGTATTTGAATGCAGATCCAGAACAATTTTAAAAACATCTATATCTGAATTTTTTATGCCCCAAATCTGTATCTAAATTTATTTACTCCCCCAAAATATGTATCTCTTTCCAAATTCAGTTAATAATTCCTATTTATGCTATAGAAATATCTTAAAATGAAAACAGAGATGATATTTTCATAAATAACCAAGTGCATACATTACTGGCATTACAGATATATATCAGTGTCCTGGAAAATGTATCTGAATTTATTTTGCACCGAAAAATATGTATCTGAATTTTTTTTACACCAATAAATATGTATCAAAATTTATTTTAACCACATAAATATATATCTGAATTCTGAAATTTTCCCCCTCATATTATAATCACAAAAACTGCAAAAGTATTTGGTAGTAAAGAAGTTATTTTATCTTTTCATATTAATTCTTCAAACCTTTTAATCTGTCACATATTCTACAGATATATTCAACCTTGCATATTTAAAAAAAAAATAATAAAATTATTATTATTTCTAGATTGTAACATCTATAGTTAAAATTACCTCAGTCACCCTTTAGATGTTCACTACAAACTCAAACTGATAAATCTAATACCTAGAGTAATTTGTACAAAAATTTGCCATTGAAAAGAGATTCGATGTTTAGATATCGTTTCATGTCTTAAGACCCTTTTCTTTTGAGTCTTTTTACCTTGGTAAGTCTCTCATTAAATAGGTATAGAAACTTGAAAGCCATGTGTATACTGGTTAAAAGCAGTCACTTGACAAGAGGGTATTTAAAAAAAATATCGTGTTAGATTTTACGCAAAGAAATTGATAAATGAGAGATTTGAAGGTTGAAATATTATGTATTGTTTACCTGTCGTTTAATTATCTTATTTAGAAACTGTTGAACATGATAGTGTACATCCCACAAAGAAAATGTACGCTTGACAGTTTTGAATTTCAAGTTTTTTTGTCAAGTTAAGACTCCAAGACTGCGACGAAATAACCTCTTTTATGAAGTTGGTTTGACATTGATATGTTTTGTTGGTAATTAATTTGGTAACCTTTATGGAGTTTAAGGAGTACAGAATGAATTTTGTCTTAGACAGTTCCTTCAAATGGATTGGGGGAAGGCCGAATGGTTAGCACGTGCACACTGTATCATAAGGTCTGTCATTGAGTCAAATGGCTCTGTTTCGATTCCCCGGTTGTATGTGACAAGGAGTAGGGTCGCCTGTCCAGCCTCGTAGGATTTGTCCAGGTCCTCCGGTTTCTTCCCACTGCTAAAGACCCCTACACGTAAGCAAATTATTGAAATAAAATTGAACCATGTGTTAGTCCCGAAATGACCAAGTTTGTGTTGAGTGGACGTTAAACCCCATTTCTCTCTCTCTCTCTCTCTCTCTCTCTCTCTCTCAAATGGATTGATTATTATTTAGGTCAAGATGGAAGGGGAGGGAGGGAAGAGTTTTTGGCTTCCAAAGCGAGTTGCAGTATATAGCCAGCTTTGAATGTTTTGAAGTTTGTCAAAAATTGGGGGGAGGGGGAAATGGGGATGCCAGACCCCTAGGTGCTGCCACTACCTGTTCCCATTTGTCATGAGTATAAAAGGAAGAGTTTGTATTCCTTCTCAAATGGAATGACAGAATGGCCTATGTGCATTTGAGAAATACTGATGTCTGTAAAAGATGTAAAATAAATGGCCATTGGCCTGTACTACTAATGTGTTTTGTGTATTTCAATCCGATTTGTTGCCCGTGAAATAACCCAACTGATATTTTGGGAGTGATCAAGCTACTGGTATAAACCTGGGTATTGAAGATCTAGTGGTGATAATGGATGTGAGTCAGTATATTAAATAATAGTTATATATACAATAGTACATGAATCATCTGTTTTAATGTTGTTTAAAATTAAACCATATGTTACTTTAATAATTGTTACATTTATTGGTTCATCAGTTTTAAATACATTTTAAACTATAAAAAATTATTCAAATCATATAAACGGTAATGATATACTAACTCATTGTTACAATCGTGTAGCATCAATTTATGATCTGCAAGCATGACAATTCGTCATTTGTCTGATAGTATTGTATATGAAATATTTACTGTGATTGACATAGGGAGCTATTTTAAGTTTTATATCATGTACGTCGTTGTACCTATCATGTCGAAAACTAAATGGGATGTATGGAATAGGGTTTAGATTGTTGACAAGACAGTGATTTGGTCCTTTTGACACTTGCTTATTTTCATCTCATTGGTTAAAGGTGCGATGCTTATTATTCTTAAAATTCCAACTGCCAAGGGGTCTTTAACATTCACACCAATGTGTACATCCAAATAACTTGGCACATTTCCCATTCAGCTCTGGAAGGTTCTTCCATGCTAGTTCCTGAATTAAAATAAATTAATCACATGTCCGTAAATAAAATACAAGGATGGAATTCATTAATGCTTGAATATAACGGCTCAATTAATTATCCATAAAGTTTCTATACCAGTTAATGTGGTTCACCTATAATGTGCAATATGTTAACTATTTACACATCTGTCTAAGTGCTACCAAGATTATTCACTAATCCTTTAATCTCTTAATCCATAAATGAGGAGAGGTTTTGTGGAGCTGATAATTCAAAATCATTAGCCCGTCACAAAAAAATAAAATTGTATTGGCAGTCATCCTAAATCTTAATCAAAATCCTTTCGTCGCCTGCTTGTGAAAAACTGTGAATGAAAAGCCGAAGGTTACACGGTAGAAGCTATTAACAGATATTTGCCATAAGGTAAGAAAAAAAATACAATAAACTCATAGTGGGCCATTTACTTAACACCAAGTCTTAAGGTGAAGATGACCAACCAATTAGCCAGCAATTGGTTTCTGAGGTTTGGCTAGCAACATACACCAACGGAGAACAGACTTCAAAGAAAATGTCGTTGAATAGATTGACTATTTAATGAATATGTATATCAGAGACAAGTTCTACCATCCATTATATTATTTTACAACTGGACGTATTTCAACTCATCTCTCTACCGTTTTCCAGCCGCTGTGTAAATGACAAACACAAGCATTAAAAATAAAAAAACTGGTCAAACAGATTCGTATGACATTTGCAGGTGTGCAAGCTAAATTGACTTCTTTTCTTAAAACACCATGTGTTCAAACAAACTGGGTTTTTTTTGTGTTGAAAGTCATTTGGATGACTTGTTGTTGATATAATGCATTTACATGAAATAACGGCCATTTAACGCACTCATTAGTCTAATGTAAGTTGGCATCTGAATTGACAAATGCGTCAAATGGTACATTTGAGTAAATTTTGTAGAAATTAGTCATGGTTTTCTATGTTATGTAGAAATAATTTTACAGAGAGAATTAATCAACTCATGGGCAAATAGCGGGGTTGTTTGGCCGAATGGTTAACACATGTGCATTGGATAATAAGGTCTGTCATTGAGTCAAGTGTCATGTTTTCGATTCCCCGCTTGTACATGACAAAGAGTAGTGTCATCTGTCCAACTTCGTGGGTTTTCTTTGGGTCCTCAGGTTTCGTCCCACTGCTGAAGATCCCTACGTGCAAGCGAATTATTGAAATAATATTGAACCATATGTTAGTCCCAAAATGACCTAGTTTATATCAAGTGAATGTTAACCCCATTTCTCTCATGGGCAAATACAGCAAATTTTATAAGATGAGATGCACATAATCCATGACTACCAAACACGATGGGATGAAAAACCAAGATCCTGTGTAAAGGAACGTTCAAAAAGTTTTTAAATGAGAATAGGTTTAACTCCATGCTAAGACTGGTGTGGTTAGTTTTATAAATTGATAACAATATTGCTTCTTTTAGAGGACACATGAATTGAAATGGGGGTTTAACGTCCTACTGTTCTGCTCTTACTGGGCTAATGAAGACAGACATACACCATGCTGTGTGCTATGAGGGAAATTTTGCCCGAACAGCGGCGCTTTGGCCTACTCTTGTTTCGAATTTTACGTGCATGCCAATGTGTAAATGGGACCTTGGTTTTTGATCTCATTCGAATGACTATACATTGTCCCTTGCCAGGCCCACCGTACTACATCAATGACAAGGGGGGCCACGCCAGAAAATCCCAATGAACTTTCTTGGCCAACACAGTGATCAAACACAGGGTCTCACTGAGCCACCGTGGTTCCAGGACCTATGAGCAAGAGTTATTACATCATTTCAAAGAATCTTGTCTTTATCCAAGTTAAATGTTAAATGATTAGATCCTGGTTATAGCAAATACAGATAAGAAAAAGAAAAGAACATTTCTTTGAAGAATTTAAAAATCAAAATGTCATTCAATTATTTGATATGGAAGTCTTTTTGTAGATTGAATATGTTTTTTTGTTATCGATCTTTTGTAAAGAGATAATGACATTTTTAATGTCTTTCTTGTTGCGTGTGTGAATTCTATTAGGGAAGTAATTGAAAACAAATTATCAAGGTGTTTTTAGATTGTCTTTTATTATGTTACATGAAAAGAAACTACGTAATATATTTATATAGTGGATATCTGTGGGTGGGTAAATGGTTAAATGGCCCTGCTTTTCTTAGGTTAACTTTTCTTTCGTTACAGAAAGCTATAGCTGTAGGGCCTCAAAAAAAACTTAACCAGGATTTTAACTGAATGATAAGTCTGCATATCTTAATTATTATATTTTAAGATTATGTGAATATGGCCCCTATCTTTGCATGGAGTTAAACTTGTTGATGCTTACAAACAAACTCTCACATTTCTCAAATACAATGTTTTAAAGCTCTTAATTCCTAAATTAGTTGGCAACAAAATTAATGGTTTTTTTTCCTTTATAGTGAGCAACCTTATTAAGATATAA